CACTAAAAATGACGAGGAGAAAAATTCAAAAAACTATGCCTGCAAGGTGTTCGCTGAAATACCCAATCGGAAAATTGACATGAAAGTTGAAGATTCAGTGAAGAATGATTCAGCCAAGCCCGAAACCTAGGTGTTTGACAAAATGTTTCAAACAATTTCGAAGTAAAGTGCGATTACAGTGACCATGTCATATTTGATAATCAACTATCACTACCTCTTATGCTTTCTGCTTGTAGTCACGCCCAATATCTCGACAAGGGTACATTTGATTACTTAAGTGGACTTGATCATGCTAAACTTATCTTATCCTTGCATCAATTTACACTTGATCGATTGAGATTGGAGTTCCCATTTGATCCTGGCTCTAGTTGGCTTACCACATTCCTTAGAGTTACAAGAAATTGTGTTATTTGCTCAGCTTCGAGCGACTTGGTCCGGATAAGTTAATAACGATAACCTTGTGGAATTCTTGCATTACACCCTTGAAACTTCATATGCGAAATACTATCGACGTATACAATTGGGCAGACACAAACTGTGTGGGTAAAAGTGTTCTCATAGAAATTGTTATGAGTGGTTATTATGCTAAGTATGTCACAACCCAAAATCAATTAAAGGTCGTGATGGCGCCTAACACCGCTGTCAGGCAAGCCAACAATACATAATTAACTTGATTCTCATTTCTTTAGTATTTTTTTTTTTTTGAAATCATATTTTCCCCTCAATTAAGTAATAAGAAATAAGTTTTACAGAGTAAATAATAATATTCTAGCAATTTCAATACCAAACAATCCATAATAAACCCAAAACCCAGCGTCACAAGTGCATGAGCAGCAACTAGGAAGTAAAATAAAATACAACATCTGTCCGGAATACAAATTGGACAGGAAAAACATAAATACTCTGAAGGAGACTCTACTGGATGCGGGTCGTAATATGGAAGGCAGCTCACCTAAGTCCCCGCATTAAACACGCCTCTGCTCTCACAAGGCCATTAGACATATATGTACCTGCACAAAAATGTGCAGCAAGTGTAATATAAGTACGTAAATCAACGCGTACCCAGTAAGTATCCAGTCTAACCTCGAAGAAGTAGTGATGGGGGGTCGACTCCGACACTTACTATGGGCTAACAATAAAATGCCGACATTATACTTAAGCATGGAAGACATAACATAGCTGAAAATTCAATAACCGGAAATAATCAACAATTCTCTTACTAATGGAAATTTCCAATTTTACTTTTCATCATTTAACAATTTCTATCTCAAGCCAATAAAGCAATCTCAATTATTATTAGTTCCCAAGAGTTATCATGCGCAAGTCATGCTAAGGTTGTACGGCCCGATCCAACATATAAATATAAATTGTGCACTGCCGAGGGTCCAAAAGCATGAACCAACATATAAATATAAATTATGCACTGCCGAGGGTCGAACGCCACGAACCATAGATTCATCTATTAACCTACCGAGGCGAACAACCCGCTCCATGAGAGTAGTGGAAATTTACCCCGCTCGCGGAATATATTTGCGACGCGGTTGCACATAGATTTCTCAAGTTATTATAATATTCTTCAATTCTTTTTCAAAAATACGAAATTCAAATGAAAACTTTCAAGTCTCGAAATCCTCAATTTCAACTCTTTTCAAGGTATTTAATAAGCATACTCGATCTCAATTCTTTTCAAGGCAAATAATAAACATAATCAAATAACGGTATCAACAAGGCATGGTGTAAACCTTAAACTATCCGGACATAGGTATAATTAGTAGCTACGTACGGACTCTGGTCACCTCGTGCGTACGTAGCCCCCACAAATAGAAGCACATATTAATTCAATTCACCCATGGGGTTAATTCCCTCTTACAAGGTTAGAAGGAGACTTACCTCTCTCCGAAGTTCTATAGCCGGCTCCCAAGCCTTTCAAACAACTCAAACCGATGCCCAACGCTCCAAAACTAGTCAATAAATGTGCAAATCCATAAAGATATACTCTAATACCCATTATAATCCAATATACAACAATTTCCAACTCCGTTCGAAGAGTCGATAAAAATCACCCTCGGGCCCACGTGCCCGGATTCCGAAAATTTTCGAAGATAAACTTCACCCGTAACCCCACGAACTCAAATATGTTATTTATTCCCAATTCCATGCCCAAATTCATGGTCAAAATCAAAAATACCAATTTCTAAGTTTTCTATCAAAAATCCCAATTTCTACAAATTTTTCATGAATTTCCATGTTAAAATCCATATATAGTCCAAGTATTTAACTTGCAATAGGTGGGAATCACTTACCTCATAATAGATGATGAAATCTCCTCTTTCAAAGCTTCGAAGATCGCCCAACCAAAATGAAATATGAATGAAAATGGCCAAATCTCGTCTTTAAAATGACACTGCCCTTCTTCGCGTTCGTGTTCCTCACGATGCGTTCGCGAAGCCTTCCACCCTCACTGTTTTGCGTTTGCATACCCAGCCTCGCGTTCACGTAGGACAAACGAACTCAGGCCCAGTCCTCACTTCCTTCTACGCGTTCGCGACTGCCCACTCGCGTTCGCGTAGGTCCGTCAAGTTCTTCACTGTGTTCGAGTCTCTCTCATAAGGCCAAATCTCAGCAGCCCCAAAATTCCTCTTCGCCAACGCGGGACTTCCTTCGCGTTCGCGGAGAAGGAATCCAGACACCAGCACCAACAGTTCCAAAACAACTCTAATTGATCCGAAACCACCCGGAAATACACCCGAGGCCCCCGGGACCCCGTCCAATCATACAAACCAGTCCTGTAATATAACACGGACCTGCTCGAGGCATCGAATCACACTAAACAACATCAAAATCATGAATCACACCCCAATTCAAGCTTAATGAATTTTAGAACTTCAAACTTCTACATTCGATGCTGAAACCTATCAAATCACATTCGATTGACATCAAATTTTGCACACAAGTCACATTCGACATTACGGACCTACTCTAACTTCCGGAATTGGATTCCGACCCCGTTATGAAAAATTCACTTCCGGTCAAACTTCTCAAAAACCTTCAAATTTCTAACTTTTGCCAAATGACCCCGAAATGACCTACGGACCTCCAAATCCACATCCGGACGCACTCCCAATACCAGAATCACCATACGGAGTATTCCCAGACTCAGAATCCCAAACGGACATTGATAACATTAAAATACACTTCCACCCCAAATTTATGAAATCCTTCCAAATGCCAACTTTCCACAATAGGTGCCGAAACGCTCCTAGATCATCCAAAACCCGATCCGGACATACGCCCAAGTCTAAAATCATCATACAAACCTGTTGGAACCAACAAATCCCGATTCCGAGGTCGTTTACTCAAAAATCCAATCTTTGTCAATTCTTCCAACTTAAAGCTTCCGAAATGAGAATTTTCTTTTCAAATCAACTCCGAACTTCCCGAATTTTAATTCTGACCACGCGTACAAGTTATAATACCTGAAGTGAAGCTAGTCATGGCCTCAAACCGCCATCGACACGCTAAGGCTCAAAACAACCAGTCGGGTCGTTACAAAGTATTCATTACTGTTGGAATTCTTAGGAAACTTATGCAGATATGTGTATGCAGCATCACTTTTTGGGCTATTATCATGTTTGGTCTTGGGTTGGATAGTAATTGTTCCTCTACTGTCCAATTCTTTATTGACGCAAGGAAAAAGGTGGGTCGTACTGTTATAAACATGGGTGTGAATGCTCCATTTGGTGTCACAAATGTTATTTTACAACTTGCAAGTGAACTTGTTATTTCCGCTGTCGTTATTCTAGTCCTTCGATTTGAAGTTGTTTCTAGTAACTTCAGAGACCCAACAGGTACTGGTCTAATTGCAGCTTTAGATGACACATCCAGTGATCTTTCTGTTCTTGGATGTATGACTTCTCTGATTCGAGGTTCTTATGCGTACCACCATTACATCCATGAGGGACTTGATGATTCGGGGTGGAATTGTGCTTACCAGTACATCCAAATACTCACTACATGGTTCACGATGCAATGTTACATTTCGATTGATGTCCTACCACCTGGGGAAATCCAACATGCATTTGTAGAGATAAGCAACAAAGACCCTTCATTTATAAGGTCATGTGAATGGAGTGAAGCATGTTAAAGGCCTACATTTCTTGGGATAAGGCCACCAAGGTTAAAGGGAAGGCAGAGATTGGAGTTGTCTGCTATCCACTACAAGAGCATGAAGGAGCTCTTGCTCCCGATTTTACTCTTCATAAGTTCACCACTATGACATCAGTGTTACTCTACTTGAACCTTGAGGACAAGGTTCTTATTGAGGATGGGGTAATGTCATGATGGATGAGGAATTTGGGCTCAAAGAGGTTATTGGGCTGTCTGAAGATGCAAGAATTGGGCCAACTAGGAGAAGCAGAAGAACTAAACGATCACCACAAAGGCTTTTGGGCTATTTTGGGATCCGGGTTGACGGGTCGAGTATATTGTAATGAATAGTTAAATAGGGGAATAGCAACAGTAGTATAGTTAGGCTGAATATTGTAAAAACTTTCCTCTCTCTGGTCTCTTTCTCCCATGCTATTTCTCGTTGTGGCTCTGTCCTTCCCCCTGCTTTCATTCTGTTCCTATCCTAATGTCGTTAATGTCTATCATGTTGTTTACTATTTCCATGTACTGAGTGTTGCTATTAATCAATATTAATTGTTGTTTGAGAGTTTCATAACAATATCGATATGTTTTTAACATTAGTCTAAAAGTGGCTACTAACAAAAGTGAATTTAGAATTTGAAGTTTATGTATTCTTACGACAATTTCGATTTAATATACTATACTAACCAGACCAACGGTTGAGTCCAAACTAATTTCTTTTATATATTAAATATATTTTTTAATATAAATATTTACTTGAGCGCAAATTATTAAAGTCATATATTAATATTATAGATCCGCCCCGCCTACTCGTGCACATTCCAAACTAGCTAGTTGGCTTGGCATTCTTAAGTTGGCACGACGGCATGTCTGGCTCTACGTCAATTTTAGCACCAACTATTTTAGCAGGGTGTTCTCTTTCCAACCGAAGTACACTGCAGCTCCAACCTACGCCCTAACGGCTATTGGTCTGTACTTATATTTAATTTTCACTATCCCTTATTTCCTAATGGACTAATGGAGTCTTTCCCCTTTGTTTAACGTACCAGTCCTGATCTCGATCGATCTTTCACTTGATTTCGCTGATAAACAAAAACGATATAGAGCTTAACATAGGTTCCTCTTCGCCCCTCTCCTTTCTTAAAGAGAAGTAAAATGGGGAGGATTAGATCGTCCGCCAATAGGTGGAGGTTCATCAATCCATCTTACTATTTGAAACGGCCTAAGCGTCTCGCATTGCTTTTCATTGTTTTTGTATTTGGTACTTTCTTCTTTTGGGATCGACAAACTTTAGTCCGAGATCACCAGGTACTTTTTGTTCTTCCCTACTTCGTTATCAACTCCCTTTTATTTGAAATTATCACTCTTAACTCCCATAATTTGGCTAATTGATTCTGCCGTTGCTAGTTTCCGTTTTAATTATCAGCAAGTTTGTTGCTTTGTTACAATAATAACACTGTCTGTGTTTTCCTGGAGAATCTATGTGTTCCAATTGTAGAATTGAGAGCCCCATTTGACGTACCAGGCTTGTTTGTTGTATCTGTATTAGTAGAGTCCTCATTAAATTTGATAGACTATATTTTGGAAGATTCAAGGTAGTTCAACTTTTTACTGGATTTATCTCTTGTGTTTTTGTCGGTAGGTCATTCATACAATGAATTCAAGTAGAACTTACAAAATGAATTAGCAAGTCTCTTCTCCTATCAAAGAGTTAACTGTCAACAGCAACACTGAGTATGGGGATTAAAGAGTTCTCAGCGATATTTGATTTTTGATTACATAGACTGTGAGATTTATAGGCATTCATTTCAGAGATCTTCTAGTTGCTTCAGGACAATATTTTTGAGGTTCTTATTGATAATTGAAACTTAAGTTGGTTTACGGTGGTAATATCACCCTTGATAAGGATAAATTGTTTAGCAAGGAGCAACAAAAACAACTACACCTTAGTCCCAAACTAATTCAGAACTTCTGAAGAAGTGTGGCTGCTGGGATTCGTGCCCAGGTCTTTACGGCCAGACTTGGAATTCTACTATACTAGACCCACGTTGAAAAAAGAGATGCAACAAGAAGACTTCCTAGGGGTCACGAAACCTAGTACGGCCTGTATTGATCTAAATTTGGCGACTTGGCAGTAATGGATAAGCGAGACCAAGGACGGGGTCGACCGCGGTGTAATAGCAGGAGGCTGCTCTCGAGAGGGTTGATGCCAAAGACGGGCAGCTGAGATGAAGAAATAACGGTAGCATAGGTTCAGATATGGACACAAGGAATATTCCTTTGGATATTCCTTATTTTGTACTTTTTAGGGTTTCTGGGAAATATACCTTATAAATAGGAAGAGATAGAGAACAAAAAGGGGGATCTTGATCTCTGATAAGAACACTTTTTGTAAAGAGTTAAAAAAGAAAAATATACAACTGTTGTCTTGCTCACTGACTACTGAACCAAGATATATTATTCACTTTCCATTTGTTAGATCCAAGGATCCATTATCCATTTTTGATTCCCATCCTTCCATATTGTTGTAAGGTGGGAAAATCATCCAAGTCACGTTATCTTTGGGTGATAAACTCCCTCTTATTACATTTATTGCCATTTATTACATTTATTGCATGTCCATATTATTGTAGTATTCATTGATAATCATTGAACTCATATCTGATATTCAATGCCTTCAGACATTATCCGTACAGGCAATATCCCCTAATATTAGATCTAGAATTAATTATATTTAACTAAGATTCATCCATCATCTCATCATTAATTGGTTTAACTAAAAAGCTCAACACTTTTTGGTCAAACACGGCCCTTGTCCAATCCTAATACTCTAATGCTTTCTATTTGTTGGTTGCAAGCACCCTGGGATATTTGGTTTTCTAGCTAGTAGTACCAAAGTTCTAGTGATTTTTTATGCTTATTGCCCTTCAGTCTATATAGAATTTTCTTCTTCTGTTTCATGGGATCTTCTTGTGATGTAGAAGTTTATTTATACATATAGTTCATAAGCAAGCTAGTGGTTCTTAGATGCATTTGTTATTTGGACATTTTTGAAGTTTTAAATTCAGTTTGTCTTGCAATTTGTCAATGAACTTGTGATTTTGCAGGAAGAGATCTCTAAGTTGCATGAAGAAGTGATACGGTTGCAAAATCTGGTAAGCAGTTTCTGCTTTTCTTTTCAAAATCTGAACTGGTATGTTTAATTTTCACCTCTTCTGTAATACTTGGCTTGTGGGGAAAATCTTTATACTAGAGCTTCTTATAATTTTGCTGGTAAGTAGCCCTTTCTCCTCCTTCCAACTGAATGAAAAAGATTGTTTCACTGTTTAGAGTTGAAAACCTGATAAAGTTATAATTCTTGCAATTCGGTTCAACCATCTTTTATGTTGTAACAAAAATACTTATGCCTATGGGGGAGAGGTATTTGAGGACAGCAATGAGCAATGGTGAAGATAGTGGTGGTGCGGGCAATAGGTTTGGCAACAGTGGTGGTGGAAGGAATAGATGGGCCCCATCTGTGTTCTGGCAGGTTTATGCTGCAACTGATCTTATTGTTAGGGCTTGCTAGGTCTTTTTTGTAAAAGAACATAAAACGAACATCACTTGTTTGGGCAAAGTCCATCTAGTTTTCTATTGTTTATTGTGGCGCTTTCACAATTCTTGGGGTTTTAAATATTTCGTTCTGTTTTCTTCATCATGATTTAATTGCTGGCTTTGTTTCCATTTATGGTCTTGTTTACTGTAGCTGGAAGAGTTGAAGAATAGTCGAGGTGTATCAGGTGAAAAGATGAATTTTAGTCGCAGTGGTGGTGATGTGATGAAGAAAAAGGATTTCGCTGATGACCCCATTGATGCTCAGCGAAGAGAAAAAGTGAAAGATGCTATGCTTCACGCCTGGAGTTCATATGAAAAATATGCATGGGGCCATGATGAACTTCAGGTCTGGTTGTTGCTACTAATAAGTCTTCTTTGTAGAAATATTGCCTTTTCGCCATTATGTTTAGTCACTTAGCAGTCAGATCTTTGGTGGAGGCATTTCAGTTGGCCATTAAATGCTTTACCCTGTTGATTGATTTCTTATATTTTCTTTCTCTACTTGGAGTGATTGTGAACACTTTGTATGCCTTACCCTTAAGCTGATCATTTAAATGCGAGTCTTCATATTTTCGTCATCCCTAATATTTGTTGGGAAAATGTTGGATCAAGAGCTTCATCCCAGCGTAGAATAATTTACATTCTGAAATGTAATTTCACCCTTGGTGGTGTATGTTTTAGGTTTATTTGGCTACAAGTTGAAGAATAATTTATACCTACATAGGTGTCGATCTTATGTAGTTAGTTCTTTCCTTTGTACAAAATAATATCTTGTACTCAAGATTACTGATTAAAAAAAATCTTGTACTCAAGGGTTTCTCAGATAAAAAGGAGTTACCTCAAAATTTAAATATGTGAAAGGATGAAGTCCCAATTAATTAATACTCCCACTTTATATTTTTGTTTCAAATACTCTCACTTGACACTATTGGTGAAATTATGGCCATTCCAAAGTGACTAACTCTCTAGCTAGAAACCTTTGCCTTTTCTTTTACCTTTTAGTTTTAATTTTGTCCTTTTGCTATTGATCTAACGGAAAAATAATAGCTTTTTACTTTGTAGCATCTCATTTACCCTTATGTCCACTAGGGCTGTGCATTTGGATCGGATATCCGAAATCCGATCCGATCCACTCTATTTCGGATTTTCGGATTTCAGATTTCGGATTTTCGGATTGGATACGGATTATGTTTTATAAAATTTCGGATTTTCGGATTGGATTCGGATTGGCATGTTTTTAATCCGATCCGATCCGAAATCCGAAGTTATATGACCTATATATAAATACTATCCAAAATTTTTAGGGTTAAGTAACCTTATATTCATTTATCAGAGACTGACCCTAGGTTATATCGATGTTGAGTCTCTAGTCTCTTCCGCCTCTCTTCACAGATCTATTCCTCAGTCCTCTCGAACTCGAAGTCTTCATCTCAGTCCGACGCCGACCAAGCTTCCGCCGTCTTCACTCTTCATCTCAGTCCTCTCGAAGTCTCAAGTCAGTGAACTCCAAGTCCTCTCAAGTCTTCACAAACGATTTCCAGTCAAGAGCAGGTGATGTTTCAGTTATCCGGGAAAGTATTTTCTTCATTGTTAAGTGAATATTCAGAAGTGGACTTTAGTTTGCAGAAATATGGTCAAATAGAACCTCTGATAGAAGTTCAAATGTTAGAAGCTTTTGGTATTGAATTCCGGCCTAAAGTTTAGGTCTCATTTGAAATGAAGTTCGCTCTTTATCAAGTTAAAGTGTAAAATTTCTGTTTGAAATTATATTTGTAAACTACACTGTAGTAGAGAACCACCCTGTTGGAAGTGTTGGCAATGGTGGCAATGTGACTGCTGTTGGCAAGTTGGGAATTTTAGGCAACTGAGGCAGTGACGGTATTGTTGGCAAGTTTGGAAGTTGCAGTAGGTTGCGAGCTGCATTGCTTGTGTTGATGCTTGATAAGGAAAATAATGCTATGATCAAGAAAAGGATTGAATAGTTGCTAGAAGAAGCCATTCTGTTAATTTGATATATTGTTTTGTTTCAAGGAAATGAAGTAGATAATAGAAGTTGGAAATGAATCAATAATTTGATATATTGTTTTCTTGATCATAGCATTAAAAGTAATAGTTTGAGTATACAGATTACAGTATAGAATAAAATCCAACATAGGATAATTATGCGACAATCCGAAAAATATCTGATCCAAAGTTTCAAATCCGATCCGATCCAATGTTAATTCGGATCGGATTCGGATTGCCCTTTTCACAATCCGAAATCCGAATCCGAAATATGCTAAATCCGATCCGATCCGATCCGTGCACAGCCCTAATGTTCACTCTTTAAGTAAACATAAAGAAGTTACATATTATTATTTCTCATCCCAAGAATCCTTTCATGTCGAAGTGCGGTTTAGAACACTAGGAGTTGTCGAGATGTGGGAAGATTATTCATACGATTGGATTCTCAAAAAGTTTTTCAAGAATTTTGAGTATCCTGGTAATGAAGATAACGCTATCATCTTTTAAGCTCTTTCTATGTTAAAGCTTTGAGAGAGGAGCATTAGTGCAATCAAAAGTGAAAACTTCAGTCTTCTGCATTTGCAATAACTTCTATGGGGAAATTTTTTATTTGAGCATGGTAACAGGTATTTTATTAACAATTAAAGTAGTCCTTAGCACAAACAAAGTTACAGGATCCCAAAGGTAAAAGAAACAAAAAGATAGTCTTGTGCTAGTTACAAAGATCGCTAGATGTCAACTACAGAATCTACATCTTCTACAAGATTAAACAATCAGTTACGGAGAAAGTAAATAAGCGCTGTAATAAGTATTTTGTTGCACATGATATTTCCTGTTCTTCTTAAAAAAATAAAAAGTCTGTCTGCGAGGTAAAAACTTGTGGAAGTTTGTTTATGATTATGGTATTTGGGCTCTGCTTCCGAGTATAATAGCTTTATGTTGAACAAATCTTATTCTTGATGGAATTGCTAGCTTCATATATGATTTATTCGACTCTCCACTTCCCTACTTCTTTTTCTTTCTTTGACTGAACACGTGATTTAAGATCAAATTCACCCAGAAGCTTATACCTGTTAGCAAAATATTCCTAGACAGAATCTAGATGGAATTGGTATTAGTTCTCAGTGACTTTTATTTGTGGTGACTATAATTTTATGACAATCAGAAAGGAAATGAAAATTTGTAAGAGAGATCCCTTTTTGTTCGTTGTTCAGTACTGAATCTAAGAGGATAAATTTTCCTTGATACTTTTCGAACTGCTTCTGCTATGTGCTTGTGGAACTTTATACTATATCCTCTATTGGACATGTGCCTGTATTGATTTGATTGTCATGATAAACCTTTGCAATGCCAGCCACAAACAAAGAAGGGTGTTGACAGTTTTGGTGGTCTTGGGGCAACATTAATAGATTCTCTTGACACATTATATATCATGGGCCTGGATGAGCAGTTTCAGAGAGCTAGAGAGTGAGTTCATTATTCTCTTGCCCCTAAAAGCCCCGAATTATCTTTCTTATTCTAATTCAGGAATTAGTTGTATTATATATTAAAATTTTGTGATTGCTCTTGATTGTACCTTTTCCCTTTCTTTCTAGATTGAGAGCTTTTTTATGTGAAAACCAGCTTTGTATATGTGGATACATTATCTTCTACTTTATCTTATTTGACGGTGATCTCTCCTCTGCACACAATAACCACGGTTGTCTTTGACAATATTACTTATGGTCCTAGTTTTGTTGTAAAGAAGAAAATGAATTGTTATTTAAATATGACCGGGAATCACCAGAATCAAGTAATTGGTTCATGCAATAATGTTAAAATGCATCTGGAGTTAGTAAAACATTGTATACTTATTGTCATCTCTCTGATTAACGTCTGCAGTTCTCCTAACTGCCTCCTCCTCAACAGCCAGAGTCCCCAAAGTCCTCACCTAGTGAGAGACTGCTTAGAGTTCTGTGTTTCCTTGGATTGTGGATTTGATGTCTCGCATTTTGACTTTCCAAAATAATTGAAGTGTCAATTTCATTATATCCCTTTTACTTCTGGGTTTTAGGGTTATGTATTAGGTGTACTTCTACTCTCTGTGAAACAATATTGCCAGGTGATTGAAATTTGTAACTATATATATTTTTGTGCTTCAGTTAAGAGTTCATTGCTTGTGGCTAACAAGTTATTGATGGCAGGTGGGTTGCAAGCTCCTTGGATTTCAACAAGAATTATGATGCCAGTGTTTTTGAGACAACCATAAGGTTTCTTTATAAGGTTTAATATGCTTTTGTAATGAGTTTACTTGGATTCCTGATACCTTTTATCAGCTTTGACGATTTGTTTCTATGTTTTTTGTTTCAATGTTTCTTTATGTAATTCAACAACAGAGTTGTCGGTGGACTTCTTAGTGCATATGATCTCTCTGGTGATAAGCTTTTCCTTGATAAGGCTAAAGATATTGCTGACAGACTGTTGCCTGCATGGAATACACCATCTGGCATCCCTTACAACATTATCAACTTGTCACATGGGAATCCGCATAATCTTGGGTGGACAGGGGTAATTTTGAACTATACCAAATTCAAGTTGATTTCCGCTGTAGTATAACTCATGTATCTCATGATGAAAAGGATATAGGGAATTATTCTAAATTTTATTTGACGAGTCATTTGATGCTTTACCCTGCATCATTAGGAGAAGAGTATCTAAATGGGGAACTGAGTGAATGAAGAATTGTACGTTATTAAATGCTCTAATTTTCTTATTATATACTTAAAGGATCTTATGATCCAATCCTTGTTTTCTCTCTTTCTCGCATCCTCCTCCAGGCGTTCTCCCAACTGACTTCAGCTTGCTGGGAGAAACATGTCTGTTGCAACTTAGGAATTGCAGTTCTCTAGAAACTGTCCCACATACTCTCAACTTGTTTGTGCAGCCAGCCATCTTGTGATGATGTCCTTTTGCTGAAATTTTCTCCTGTGGGAATCCAACTCTCTTCTTTTTAATTGCTTTTTATTTCTTTTCTTTGGGGCATATTAGGGAGCTGCAGGGCCGTGAGGCTGTTGTGCAGTCACTGCGATATATGGTTTTACTTGTTCTTTTCTTCTTAAAGACTTGGACAGTCTTTTTTTGCACACCAATGACTATCTTTTGAAATCTGAATATTTCAGTCTCATGGCATCTGATATATGATGCTTAAATTTTCTATGCACGAACACATGGAACACATATATGTAATTACATTGCTGTAGTTCTAGTGTACATTTGGTGAAATTACTGTGCTCCCTGCTCTCAGGGTAATAGTATCCTGGCAGATTCTGCCTCTGAGCAGCTTGAATTTATTGCTCTTTCGCAAAGGACAGGAGACTCAAAGTATCAACAGAAGGTATGTGCCAATAGAATTTCTCAAAAAGTATAACTTCTTGATAACTACTACTAGTAAATAAAACTACAATTCCAAAATTGGCATGGTAGACAATTGATTAAGCTACACATACTTGAAACGATGTTCTGCTAGTGACCGAATGGCATATGTTCCTATTTCAGGTGGAGAATGTTATCTTAGAACTTAATAGAACTTTTCCAGATGATGGTTTGCTTCCAATACACATTAATCCCGAGAGAGGGACAACGTCATACTCCACTATAACGTTTGGGGCCATGGGGGACAGGTAGCTTTCATTTATCTTTCTCCATATGACAGATCTGATAATGTGAACCTAAAGAGGACTGGTATCACCATATCTGTCTGTTCACTGGCATTTAGTTTTCCTTTGTTTCTTTTGTACATTTAGATAGTAAAACTATGTCATTTCAGCTTTTATGAATATTTACTCAAGGCCTGGATACAAGGAAACAAAACAGCTGCTGTGGGACACTACAGGTAAGAAGCTTAAGTTTAAATTTTCTTTATTTTTTTACTTCTCATTTTTCCTATTCAGAACTTCAAGTGGTTTCCTGTTTTGACATGATGGATTGCAGTTCTGATGGATCCGTAACTGTAAAGTGTATAAACTAATGCTAGAATACTTTGTCGGGTCTGAATTCAAGTCTTTGTCATGCATCACGGCCTAACACATAGAAATATTGTTAAATGTTTACATGTTTAGAGCACTACCAAGAAACCCAATCAGAGGAAAAACATGAATTTAGATCGAACATGAACAGAAAAAGGACCATTAAGGAGAAAAAATGACAACTTGCTGAGGAGTTGATGTAATCTAAATACATAAAAGTAGGCCTGGATTATTAGAGCTGTTGCTATTAAAATATCATTCGATATACATATAAAAATCGAAGTAAGAGAGATTAAATTTACTGCTACTTTTTTAATTTATAGAGAAAGTTCCTGCTATTTTTATATCATTCTGATAAATACATGATATCAAACCTAAGCTGCAAAACGAGCTCCTTATCCCTTACTGCTCTGAAGTGCAGGAAGATGAAATTGGTTATTGTTTGAAAACTTTGTGTTATAATTGCTTAGTTAGAACCAAAAGGATCAGAAATGTGGACCAAGTCAAAGTATGTCAATGCATATTTCTTTCCTGAGATTTTAAATGAGTATGATGTTCTTTTGCAACTTGCAATCATAAAGTGTATCACATACAGTTCTTCCATTTAATTTTCCGAACAGAAAAATGTGGGAGACATCAATGAAAGGTCTTTTAAGCTTGGTGCGGAGGACTACCCCATCATCTTTTGCTTATATTGGTGAGAAGATTGGAAGTTCTTTAAATGACAAGGTGATGTATAGGGTTCAAATTGGTAGCTGGGAGTTGTGGTGATGTGTGTTATTCTTATATCCTGTTTAATCTACCTTTTTTTGAATTCTATACAGATGGATGAACTTGCATGCTTCGCTCCAGGAATGTTAGCTTTAGGGTCGTCTGGTTATGGTCCTGACGAGTCTCAGAAGTTCTTATCACTGGCGGAAGAGGTAAATTTGAACTTGTAGAGCACTAAACTATGGTTTGACTTAAGTTCTTATTTGACCATCGATATCTGATGGAGAAGTTTTGCATCAACTTTGAGTATGAGGTTGTTTAGGTTAAAATGGACATTGTTCTGCCTACTCCAGATGATTGCTTGGTTTACTTTAGTTTATTTGGTGGAGTTACAGGGTGAAGCATGAAACAACCTATGAAACAACATGTAGGTTTTGAATGTGGGCTACAGTCCAGATTTTATCATTCAACCTTCTAACTTTCTCTTTCAGATAAAAGGGAAAGAAGGCACATAGGATCAGTGGGCTTAATCTGTTGCATATTGACTACTTCCATTATTGCTCGTTAGAATAGGAAGCTTGAGTGTTGCTATTTTACTGGATATGTTGACCTCTTCTTGCAGCTTGCTTGGACTTGCTATAACTTCTACCAGTCAACACCTACAAAATTGGCAGGAGAAAACTATTTCTTTAATGATGATGGGCAGGTTGATTTTACCAATTATTTTATTGGTACATATTTGTTATTGTTGTTTGCTTATGCTGATAAAGTATTTGTGATTGTTTTTCAGGATATGACTGTGGGCACATCATGGAACATACTAAGGCCAGAAACGGTTGAGTCTCTATTTTACCTCTGGCGTTTAACTGGAAACAAGACATACCAAGAGTGGGGTTGGAACATATTTCAAGCATTTGAAAAGAACTCGAGAATAGAGTCTGGATATGTTGGACTTAAAGATGTAAGTACAAACTCAGACTCCTAACTCTAGTTGGTGATTTTGTTAAAGATTAATTCATGTGAAAGAATCTGAGCATCCAACCCAAAACTTTAAGGCAATGGGTGGAGTGATCCAGGACATTACCCTTAGGGGCTGTTCGGTTCAAAACCAGGATATCCCATAATCCTGGGATTAGAACTGGGACTATAACCTGGATAATTATCCCACCTTCTATATGGGATAAGAGTTAAGTTATACCTAGATTCTGGTATAACAAGAATATCGGGTTTAGCTAATACCTCCAACCAACACGGGATAAGTTTAATTCCAAAATTTATACCGGGATAACCCACCTAATCCCTTGAACCAAACGACCCATTTCATAACCGATGAAAGACAAGTGTATTCTCTGACATCCTCCCGTACGTGTAACCCGATTCTCGAGATGTTTTGGACATCTATTTTTAACGTGTTGTTGGTGTTTGTCCCAGGTTAATACCGGCGTGCAAGACGATATGATGCAAAGCTTTTTCCTTGCGGAGACTCTTAAATATCTCTACCTTCTTTTCTCACCCTCTTCAATCATTCCACTAGATGAGTGGGTCTTCAACACAGAAGCCCACCCCATAAAAATTGTTAGCCGGAATGATCCAGCAGTGAGTTCTGGAAGTTCAGTTGGACAAACAACATCATATAGGCGGCCACGGACCAGGAGAGAAGGCCGATTTGGTAATAAGTAGGTTCACAGGTCATCATTAGTTTAGTTGTTGATTCAAAAGGCCAATTTGGGATTTGGGATTCAAGTGCAATTTTGCTTGGCACTTCTTTCAACCAGATTGGTGGAATTTTTCCCCCCAACATTGATAAAATGTTCAGTATAGGAGAAGTTATGAGAATGTAGCATAGTTATTTAGTTTCCTTTTATACGTTCCCTTAATACTAGCGACTGTATTCTAGTACAGGGCATTTAGCTCTATATTTTTTGGGGCTGGACGACTGGACGAGTATTTGTATATCATTCCTTTTTATTTTGCGTTTTTTAAATATAGTAGGTAAATTCTCATTTCAAAGACTGTGGACAACCTCTTTGCTCAGCTCGAGCCATGGTTGAGGATCAAATTTATGTCCGAGTAACTTTTGTTTTTAGTGCTGTGAGTCTGTCGGGGTAATATTGTCCGTTGGATTGCTTTAATGTATCTCAAACACGACCACCTTCGTACAACTACAACCCTCTTTTTTGTCCTTTTTGAAATTATAGTTTGGCCAAAGATGTTCTATTTTGTAAAAATTGTACGGGGCGCCCCCTTTTAACCTGTACCTACTTTGTCTTTCTGTTTGCACCCATACCCACTTTTTTGTTAAAAGCCATTTGAAAAGACTATTTTACCCTTTTTTGTTAAAAGACTACTTTCTCTCCAAATATACGCTAGTGCTCTACTGTTTCTCTCTCCCGTTATTTGCGTTTTTCGATTTGCTCTTCTCAGAAATCAAACGGTTTTCGTCGTTCTTTCGAATTTTCAACTGCTAGTCGTCGTTGTTACCATATTACGATTTAATCACAGGTAATTGCATTAACTTTCTGGGTTTTGTTTTATGATTTAATTTCTGGTTTTGGGTTTTGATATTCATGTATTTATGATAGGGTTTAGTTTGATAGGTTGTTCATGTTGTTAATGTAATTTCTATAAATTCTTCTGTGATTCGACGTTCAAATTTTTAAAAGTTTTCAGAGTTAAACAGATGATAATGATACTTTAGGATAGGAGCTGAAGTTTTTTTCATGTTTTGGCATTTATTTTTGGGTTTTAGAATTTGTGTTTTGTTTTTTTTGGTTGTAATGTTTTGTGCTTGCCGAAGTT